GATCCTACGAGAAAGGGCACGCCGCACGAGGTGGGGAAGCGTCAGGGTTGCAGGAGCCTTTACTGTGGTTTCTAGTGCAAGGAGCAGGTGAGACAGGGCGGACAGGTTCAGGACTAGCTGGCCGAAGTCCTTCCAGCGGGCTCTGGGGTGTAGGGGCCGTCTGTGATTGGCGGGTACCTGGCCCTGGGGTGTGGGAGCTTGATGAAGGAGGTGTTGGGAGTGTGGGCTCCGCTCGGTTTGCACAGGAAGGACTTGCACAGGTGAGCTACCCCTAGGAAGGGGGAGTCTCTCCAAGCTCTGAAAAGACCCAGCAGTGCAACCACCTGTAGGTCTTCATTTAAAAACATTTATTGATTTGAAACACAGACCAACAGAGAGAGGGATGGGGGGCACAGAGAGAGAGAGGAAAGAGAAAGGTGAGAGAGGAGAGAGATCTTCCATCCGCTGGTTCACTCCCCAGATGGTCACAATAGCCAGGTCAGGAGCGGCTGAAGCCAGCAGCCCAGAACTCCATCCGGGTCTCCCATGTGGGAGCAGGGGCCCAAGCCCTTGGGCCATGATCCACTGCCTTCCCAGGCGCATTGGCAGGGAGCTGGATTGGGAGCAGAGCAGCTGGGACTCGAAGCAGAACTGACAGCAGCAGCTTACCCGGCTGTGCCAGGATGCCAGCCGTTTGTGGGTTCTTCATGCAAAGCCCAGTGGTCTTAGCCGATAGCCGGTACCATGACTGCAACCCCTTAGTGCAGCGACTCTAGCCCAGCCTTGGCACAGCCCGGGCGACGCCATGTCCACCAAGCCCTCCCCGAAATGCAGAGTCACGGACCCAGGCAGCATTTTTTAAAGTCACTACATTTGGGGATAATATTTCACACAGCCACAGTGACTTGGAAAATGGCAATGAACTGAGCCAAGCATATGCACTCTCTCTCTCCAGCACTTAACTGGGCCTCGGGAAGCTCAGTGGGCGGGGACAGGAGGACACGCTAGGCGCAGAGATGCTGTGGTGGGGCGTGAGTCCCGCTCGTGACAGACGACTTGTCTGCAGCAGCGGAGTTCCCTCCAGAGCGGCCTGCTTCCCCGTGCCTCGGATTCAGAGGCCAGCTGTGGCGCCGCCACGCCCAGGCCTCCAGCTGACTGGTTTCTCCACAGTCCAGGCTGCCTTGCTGTGAGGCCCTGGATGGGCAGAGACCCCTGCCCCAGGTCCCTCGTGCTGGCCCTGTCCTGACACCCTCCAGTCCCTGCAGCCAGGAGAGCCCCTCACCTCTGGGGACCACGGTGCCCAGCCAGGGCCCAGCCTACAGCAAGCAAGCAGCTTCCACCCTCTCCCTTCTCTTACCAAGAGCCACTGGGACCCGTGCAGACGGCAAAGGTCAAGGAGCTCTGTGAACCCTCTGGTCTAGCCAAATCCACACAGCTAGTATCTTCCTTTCTCCAAAATATTTGCTTTTTTGGAATTTGAAAAATAACTTTAATAGTTCCAGAACATCCTAGAAATTGCACCTCCTTGGTCCCCTCTCCCAGCTCGGACCCGGACAGGGGCCTCTTTCCAGTCTGCACCCACGGCAGCGCAGGGGAGCGCCAGGTGCATGCTCCCGCGTGGGACGGTGAGGCCCCGAGGGGGAGCCGTTTGCCTCTGCCTCTTTCGGCTGAGATGGGGTTTCCTCGGGCCAGGAGCCCCACACCCGCCTTCACTCCCCGCCCCAGCCCGGCCCCCGGCTGTGCTCACCGTGGACGCTGCCACGCCACAGGAGGGCCAGAGCCACCCGGCTGGATGGCAGCTGTGGCCCTTCAGAGGGGTTGGACAGTGTGCGCTCCGGGAAACTGGGGAGGGGTGTGCACAGCGGGGGGACAGGTGGCCGCAGGGACAGTGAGCACAGAGGAGGCAGACTGCTTTCCTGAGCGGTTATCTTTTTCCCTCCCTGTATCACACGCACACACACACACACACACACACACACACACACATGTGACACAGGCCTCCAGGAGTTCGTGTGGAACTTAGAAAGCACCAGCTGCTCCCTTGTCTCACTGACGACCACAACGTGAGAGCGGCTCCGAGGACCTATTCAGGACGAGGGAGCAGGAGGCAGGGGAGTGCTGGCCAGGGCCGGGGCAGGAGGAAGGCGACGCAGGCAGCGCCAGTGTGCAGCAACCAGTCTGGTCCTGTCTGAGCCCGTGGACAAGGGAGCACGCAGCCGCGTGTGCCAGCATGTGTGTCTGCGGCTGGATGTGCCCGTGAAAGTCCTCGCCTGCATGGCCAGGGCCCCACCCGTGGGAATGGCGCCAGTGGGAGGGGCTGCCGTGGGCGGGTTCCTGTCGCAGCTGACCTTGCAAGTGCCCTGGGAAGCCAGCAGCCTGGCCGGGGGGATCTACACACACACAGACACACAGGCCCCCTTGTCTGTACCCACCCACACAGCCTCTTGACTGGCAGCCTGGGGAGTACGGGCGGCCGAGAACCCACAGCTCCGCCCCGGTCTCGTCTGGGTCCGTCCACTGTGCTGAGGCAGCCTGGGGGGGGCACAGGCCCGCGAAGAAAGGGGGTACCCGGGAGGCCGAGTGGCACAGGCCGCAGATGCAACAGCTAAGCAGAGGTCGCCCCTCAGGCACCACCTGGCCCCTGAGGCATGGGGAAGGCATCACAGGCAAATCCGTGTGGGTGCCGGGGTGAGACACCCCTCGGGGGCTCGCCGGCTCCAGGGGTCACCACGTCAACCTGAGACCTCCGCCTATTTGGGAGCCGAGGCCACTCCTGCCGGCGCTCGGGGCACCAAGGCCCTCTGCTGCTCTGCTCCAAGGGCCACTCTTGGGTGACAGGGTCCCAGAGCAGGGCCGTGTCCTGCCCCACCCAGGGTTCTCAGGGAGAACCTAGGGCAGGCCGTGTCCCCTCTGGAACCCAAGTTCCCTGGGTAGAGCAAGTCTAGAGCTTTGGAGGTAAATGGGAAGTGTCAGGGGCACCCTCCTCCAGGAAGGCCTCTTGGGCTTCCTGCTACCCTGAAAATGACCCATCTCAGAGGCAAGGCCCCCGAGTCCACCTGAGACCAGGCTGTCTTGCCCTCCAGTTCACAACCACTTCCCAGCCCCGACTTCTCTCCGTGCCCAGAACCCCCGGCTGACCGCCCCGGCGGCCTTTCCACCTCCCTCCTCCGAGAGCGCTGCTCCCTGCAGCCCCGCAGCCCCGCAGCCCCTCCACCTCCGCACAGGGGCCCTGGCATCCCAGAGCCTCTGTTCACATCCCGGGCAGAGCCGCACCGGAGTGCACATCAGGGCAGAAGGAGAGGTAGGGAGCCACCGAGCCACCTTCCCCCAGCCGGCACAGGAAGGGGCCCTCGCAGCACGGCGGCCACCAGGGGGCAGGCTGCACCTGCGGGATGCTGACCCACTGGGGGCCTTCCTCCTGGTGGGGCAGCGAGGGGGGGTGGAGAGCACCCCTTGGGGTGAGGACAGGGAGGCCCCGGTGTCGGCAGACAGAGGCCTCTGTGTGACGGGCAGAGTGGGCCTTGGCGAGGAAGGGGCAGGGTGTGGAGGGCAGGAGGACGCCGTCCCGGGAAGCTGGAGTGTAGACACCCTGGCTCTCCTAACTGCACCGCCCTGGTCACAGGGAGGGGCGGCCTGGGCTCCGGGCCCCTTCCAGCCCCGAGCAGCACAGTCGCAGCTGCTGCCGCCGCTGGTCTGAGTTTTCACTTCCTCTACAGATCTGCCCTTGTTTCTTTCTTTTTTAAAAAAAGATTTAACTTATTTATTTCAGAGGTGGAGTTACAGAGAGCGAGAGAAAGGTCTGTCTGCCAATTCACTCCCGAAATGGCCGCAAATGAGCCGATCCGAAGCCAGGAGCCAGGAGCTTCCTCTGGGTCTCCCACGTGGGTGCAGGGGCACAAGGACTTGGGCCATCCTCCACTGCTTCCCCAGGCCACAGCAGAGAGCTGGACAGGAAGTGGAGCAGCCGGGACAAGAACCGGCACCCGTGCAGGATGCCGGCACTGCAGGCAGAGGCTTAGCCACTGAGCCACAGCGCCAGGCCCCCAGTCTTGTTTCTTAAGCTGGGCCTGCTGCTTGCTCACAACGTACCGGTGACAGTGACGGCACAGGTTAAATCCAAACTCAGCCTGGCCTCAGGACCCCAAGGTTTCCCTCACTGTCCACTGCTCCGAGGCAGCCTTCTCCGTGGACACTACACGGTGGAGAAGTCCTCTCCCTGGGAGTCCGAGGGCTCCCAAGAGGACAGCTACCGTCATCTCCTCCTGGGGAGTCCCTGGCCCACTAGGAAACAGATCAACTCTGCTCCTCCTCTGCCTCCTCCATCAGGCCGGGAGCCCTGCAGGTCACCGTGTCCTCTGCAGTCCCGGGCGTGGCTCAGGCCTCGCTGGAGCGGGCTGCAGACTCTGGGTCTGCGGCCCAGGGGGAGGGCTGCTGCCCGGAGCGACCCCGCCCAGGCCCCAAGGTGACCCCCAGAGCGAGACCTGTGGGCGGGCTCAGGGCTGTCCACTTGACTAAGCACCAGGAGTCACTGCCAGATCCCACCTCCGTCCTTTCCCGTGGGGTGGGGGTGGGGGGCGCCTCCCGAGCCAGGAGCTGGGAAGCCTGAGGCACCAGACAGAGGTGCCTCAGCTACAGCCAGCCAGAGACCGAGCCCGGACACACCGAACGTTCCAGTCAGACGCCCGCCGAGAACCCACGCAGGCCAGCAAAGAGCCTGGAGGGAGACACTCAGAGACGGAGCGCGGGACGGGGCAGGGACACAGCACGGGGCATCTCCCAGGGGCCTCCGCTCTTCCTGGGTCCCCCAGCCGGACACTAGGTGCCCATTTCCTCCTTGCGCACCCCTCCCTTGTCAGGCCCAACTGATAGCAAGAGTTGTCCCTCCTGGGTCCTGTCTGCGCCCCTGCACCCCCAAGTCCTCTCCTTCCTGTCATACAAGGCCTTATGGGGTCTCCGCGCCCCTGCAGGGCCCCTGTGCAGCCTGTTGGTCAGCAGGGACACGCCCAGCGTGCATCTGCGTCCACCACCCCCAGCAGGCCTGGTAAAGCCCGGTGCCTTTCCTGGTTTACGACTGGCTCCCTCTGAGCCCCGCCCCTCACCAAGCTTTCGCACTGTGTGCTCAGTCCGCGCCCCCTCCTCAGGGCAGCCTCTCCCTGCGCTCACCCCTCGCCCGGCGCCCACAGCAACCACCCCCACCGCCACCAGGCTCAAGTCCCACAGGAGCGCGGACGCAGGCTCCCGGCCTTCCCCTTCCTAAGTGCTGCGTCCCCGCCCTGGGCCCCGCCCTCTGCCTCCACCTTCTGCAGGGCCGCAGCCGCTCCTGCAGCGTCCATTCCATCTGCTTTTCCTTAAATGCCGTCACTCGTTTTCTGCGTCAGGAATTGCATTTACATCGGGGCTGGTGCTGTGGTGCGGTGGGTAACGCTGCCGCCTGCACTGCAGGCATCCCACAGGGACACTGGTTCGAGTCCCGGCTGCTCCTCTTCGGATCCAGCTCTCACTATGGCCTGGGAAAGCAGTGGGAGATGGCCCAAGTGCGTGGGCCCCTGCACCCACGTGGGAGACCTGGAGGAAGCTCCTGGCTTTGGTTCAGCGAAGCTCCGGCCATTGTGGCCACCTGGGGAGTGAACCAGCGGATGGAAGACCTCTCTCTCTCTCTCTCTGCCTCTCAGTAACTCTTTCAAATAAATAAATGTCTTTAAAAAATTCTGCTGAAATAACAAGGGTAGCCAAAGTTATCAATCCTATTCTTCGTAATTTCTACAATTTTTGTTGCTCTCAAGCGTTTCTCATCCCAAATCAGTTTGCTCTAATTTATTTACTTTTTGTATTTAACCATTCGATCCATCTTGCATAGCTGCAGGATCTAAGGTGAAGACGTCTTCTCCCGGCGGCTAATCGGCTGTGTGACCACAGTTCTCCGTCTCCTCCATCTGTAGAGCCGAGAAGCTGTCATCTAAGCGCCTTCCGGTGAGGAATTATGCAACGTGCATATGGCAGTTACGATTGTCGCCGCCTGGAAGAACGCTAAGTGTGTCACTTCAAGCAGTTGTTTGTTCCCAGCTGCATAAACTCGTCAGCATACAGCGAGGCGGGGGATACAGGGAACAGGTGTGATGCGGGTGGGTAGGGCCGGGGTGAGATTTTACTGTTAATATTTGTGAAGTAATTATAAACGGAACGCTTACGTGGACGGCGTGTAGAAGGGACGGGGAGTGCAAAGTGGCAGCAGGTAAGGGTGGGGGGTTTGGGGAGGTGACCCCAGGGAGCTGAGGAGGGTGGAGGGTGCAGGGTCCTCCTGGGCCACTCTGCGGCGCGGTACCCTGCGCACCGAGCCCCTCCGCAGCCCCAGCAGGGCGGACAGAACCTTTGCAGGACCCTAACCGCCCCGCCGCCCACGCAGGAGCCAGGCCGCGAGGCCAGCTGGGGTGCGCAGCCACCAGGCAGCAGAGGCCGCCCCCGCCTGCGACCACCACGAACGGGAAGGGTCTGGCAAGCTGGGCCCTGATGGGCGCCCCAGGGCGGCCACTGCTCACAGGTGCGGCCCGCCAGGCGACCTGCGCGCAGAGCCCAGACCCCCGAGGCCCGGGACCGAGTCTACGCCTGCCTCCCACTGCGGCTCCCCTCCGGGGCCGGGAGGGGCGCGCAGCGTGTCCGCCCGGCCTGGAGTGCGCGCGCAGCTCGGCGGGCGGAGGCGGGGCGCTCCTCGCGCCAGCCCGCCCACGCGGCCCCGACCCGCCGCGTCGCGCCCCGCTGATTGGCCGAGAGCGCGCGCGAGCTCCTCCTCCGCCCCTTGAGGCGCTGTCTCGCCCACGCGGCCCCGCCCCTCCGCGTCACGCCCCCGCTGATTGGCCAAGAACGGGCGCGAGCTCCTCCTCCGCCCCTTGTGGCACTGTCCCGCCCACCGGGCCCCGCCCCGCCGCGTCGCGCCCTGCTGATTGGCCAAGAACACGCGCGAGCTCCTCCTCCGCCCCTTGCGGCACTGTCCCGCCCACGCGGCCCCGCCCCGCCGCGTCGCGCCCCACGGATTGGCTGCGGGCGCGCGAGCTCCGCCCCCGCCCCTTGAGGCCCTGTCCCGCCCAGCGGCCCGCTGGGTGGGCGCCCTGCAAGTTGGAACGCGAGTGCCCCGGGGCCCCAGGGCCGTCGAGGCTAAGGGGGGACGCCTCCCCGTCCCGTGCACCCTCACAGCGGCCCGCCGCCACGCGGAAGCACAGTCCTGCCCAGCGTGGCCCCCGCCGCCCCTCTGCCCGCGCCAGGCTGCCCCTCGTCCCCTGGCTGCAGACCGGGACTCCTCGCCCCCACAGGCCGGGAGGCTGGTCCCCGAGGACCGGCTGCCCCTCGGCAGGCTCGCGCCCCTGCGGACCCTCCCCACGGCCCGGGGCCCTGCCTCTCCTCCAGCTGCCCAGGCACCCGGACCCCGATCCCGCGCTGGGACGCCCCCCGCCAGCACCACGCCGCCACGGCCCGCCCTCGCCCACCCCACAGGCTCGCCCTCGCCCACCCCACAGGCCCACCGCAGCCTGTCCTCGCCCACCCCACAGGCTCGCCCTCGCCCACCCCACAGGCCCACCTCGGCACGCCCTCGCCCACCCTACAGGCCCACTGCGGCCCGTCCTCGCCCACCCCACAGGCTCGCCCTCGCCCACCCCACAGGCCCACCGCAGCCTGTCCTCGCCCACCCCACAGGCTCGCCCTCGCCCACCCCACAGGCCCACCTCGGCCCGCCCTCGCCCACCCTACAGGCCCACTGCGGCCCGTCCTCGCCCACCCCACAGGCTCGCCCTCGCCCACCCCACAGGCCCACCGCGGCCCGCCCTCGTCCACCCCACAGGCTCACCCTCGCTCACCCCACAGGCCCACCTCGGCCCGCCCTCGCCCACCACACAGGCTCGCCCTCGCCCACGCCACAGGCCCACCGCGGCCCGCCCTCGTCCACCCCACAGGCTCACCCTCGCCCACCCCACAGGCCCACCGCGGCCCGCCCTCGCCCACCCCACAGGCTCGCCCTCGCCCACGCCACAGGCCCACCGCGGCCCGCCCTCGCCCACCCCACATGCGCACCGCAGCCTGTCCTCGCCCACCCCACAGGCCCGTCCTCGCCCACCCCACAGGCCCACCGCGGCCCGCCCTCGCCCACCCCACAGGCTCGCCCTCGCCCACCCCACAGGCCCACCGCGGCCCGCCCTCGCCCACCCCACAGGCTCGCCCTCGCCCACGCCACAGGCCCACCGCGGCCCGCGCTCGCCCACCCCACAGGCCCACCGCGACCCGCCCTCGCCCACCCCACATGCCCTCCGCGGCCCACGCTCGCCCACGCCACAGGCTCGCCCTTGCCCACCCCACAGGCTCACCGCGGCCTCACCCACCCCACAGGCCCACCACGGCCCGCCCTCGCCCACCCCACAGGCCCACGCTCGCCCACCCCACAGGCTCGCCCTCGCCCACCCCGGCTCGGGCGCTGGGCCCCACGCCGCACCCCCGCGGGCCCTGCGCGCCCCTCCCCACAGCACTCGCGCCGGGTTCCTGGCACCGCTCTCGCGTGCCGGGACCCCCACCCTCCACGCACCGCCTCCGCCGGGACCCCGCGCCCGCTCCCCCCACGGGCGGCGGAGGCCGGTCCGGGCTGGGACACACCCACCCGCCCGCCCTCCTCTCCGCCCTCGCTCCCCGCTCCCCGGCGCCCGCCGCCCGCGCCCGCTTCCCGCGGCGCCGGGCCTCCCGCTCCGCCTCCCCGAGCGCGGCTCTCCCGGGCGCGGCTCCGGGGTTCATGGTGACGAGGCGGCGGCGGCTCCAGCCCAGCGGCGGCGGCGGGAGCGGGGGCGCGGGCCCGGGCCGCCTCTTGCGGAGCGCGGGGCCGGGCGGCGGGCGCGCCCAGGCGGCGGCGGCTGCGAGCGCCCCCGCGCGCCCCCCGCGCCGCGGCCCCGCGCGCCTGGCTTGCGGGGGGCCGGGCCTGCGGGCGGCCGCCGCGCCGCGCACCCATGGACGGCCCGGCCATCATCACCCAGGTGACCAACCCCAAGGAGGACGAGGGCCGGCTGCCCGGCGCGGGCGAGAAAGGTGAGGAGGAGCGCTGGGCCGGCTGCGGCCGCGGGCCGGGGGCGTGGGCACCCTCGCGCCGGCTCGGGCCTGCGGGAGGGGGCGCCCCGGGCCGGGCGGGTGCGTGGGTGTGGGGTGCGCCCGCGGAGCCGGCGTGAGTGTGCATGTGCGGGAGCCGGCAGAGAAGTTGGGAGAGTGTGTGCCCTGGCAGGTGTCCCGTGTGCACCTACCGGGAGGCGGGGAGCGGGCTGTGCACCTGCCTGCCCCTGGGTGAGTGTGGACACCTCCGGCGGTGTGTGCGCGCCCACCAGACTGTGCGCGCTCGGGGCAGAGTTGTGTGTGTGCGCGCGGGCAGGTGGGCGTCGTGTCCCTGCGCCGGGGGGATGTGTGTCCCAGGCAGGCCCCGTGTCCCCGTGGGCTCAGCTTGAGTGTGTGCTGAGCCACCACCGTCGCAGGCCCACTGGCCTGTTGGAAGGACTTGCAAGGCCTGGGGCTCCCGGGGCCCTTCGAGGGCCCCGCTGTAAGGGGCACGGGAGGCGCCCACAGGGTGCTAGGAGGGCCCCTGGCTTGCTTTGACACTTTGACACTTTGGCCCTGAAGTTCCCCTCCGCTTCCTTCCCCTGCCCTCTGCCCTCAGAGACTCTGTGTCCCCTCTCCTGAGCGCCCAGCTGGCTGTCTAGGGAGGACTGAGGTTCTGGCTTGCTCTGGGGTCTGCCGCTCACTTCCAGCACTGTGACTGAGGTCGGGCAGCCCCGGAGCTCTGTCCCCTCTCCAGGCCCAGCCCCGGGCAGCTCTGTCCCCTCTCCAGGCCCAGCCCCGGGCAGCTCTGTCCCCTCTCCTGGGAGCTCTGTCTCCTCTCCTGAGTGCCCAGCCCCGGGCAGCTCTGTCCCCTCTCCAGGCCCAGCCCCGGGCAGCTCTGTCCCCTCTCCCAGGAGCTCTGTCCCCTCTCCTGGGAGCTCTGTGCCCTCTGCAGGCCCAGCCCCGGGCAGCTCCGTCCCCTCTGCAGGCCCAGCCCCGGGCAGCTCTGTCCTCTCTCCCAGGAGCTCCGTCCCCTCTCCAGGCCCAGCCCCGGGCAGCTCCGTCCCCTCTCCAGGCCCAGCCCGACTTGGTCACAGCTTTGGGACAGCCTCAGGGCTCTCCTTGGGCTGCCAGCCTTGCTGTTCCAGTGAGGGGTGCAGCCTGGCTGGGAAGTGGGGTGGGGGTGGAGGAACACTCTCCTCCCTCCAAGCAGGGGCGGCTGGGCGAGCCCACCAGGAAAATGGAAAAATCCAGCGACAGCTTCGGATGGGGGATTTCTCAGGCTGTTGTAGACTGTAAACGTCCTATGGGCCTACGGACTGGCAGTGGTGTTTGGAAAATAAAGAATTCAAACTGCCAGGCCTTCCTCTGTGCCTTACAAATGGGCTTTAGAAACACTGCAGGAAGGCGCCCTGGTCGAGTCCCTGTCTCCCTGGGGCCTGGCCTTCCTGCCGTGGGCGCTGGGGCTGATGGGGCCCCTCAGGGAGGGGTGAGTGGGAGGCTGCTCCCCGGAGCTCCCGTAGAGCGCCCGTGTGCCGCCTTCCCAGAGAGGATCCGCAGCTCGGGCTGGGACAGGGGGGCGACAGCAGGGCAGCTTCCTCAGAGCCCCCTCCTCCTGCCCCTGCCACCTGCCGTGCACACAGGCTTCGCCAGAGCTGCTCCGGCTGCAAAGGCGGTGCACACAGACTCCCCCCCCCCAAGAGCCAGACCAGGCGTGCACCGCAGGCCGCGCTTGTTCTGCTCCACTTGTTGACGTTTCTTTCAGCGCCCGAATCCATACCTGGAACGGCCAACTTTGTTTTCCAGTGTCAGACTGGTTGTTTGTTAACTGATTAGAGGAATTCCTTACCTGCTCTGGGGGCGGGGCGGCTGGCTGGGAGTCGGTCAAGTCCTGCTGAACTTACTTCTTCACGCTAACAGAAGTGGGGGATAACCTTGGCTGTGGGCAGTGTGGCAGAAATGTTGGCGTCTCCTCAGATTCCTAATCCGCTGAAAAGGGTCAGCAGTGTTCCAGTTTAGGCTCATGTCTCCAGATAGGCACAGTATGCCTTACGTAATTTTCATTTAAGGCAAACATTTAATCACTTTGTTTTTAAATACTGGGCCTAGAATGTTCTAAGTTTTTGTAATGGGGAAAAAATGCCAATTTAAAATGTTTGCTTTCGGCATTTGTCCTGCAAAATCGGAATAAAATGACTGCCTGTTGAGTTTGATGTGCTGGTTACAAGACACGGTGTTCCGTAGTGTTTCCTGGTTCTCCAGGGCGTCAGTGTCCCACACACCTCGCTCTAGGTATAGAGCGACAAGTCTGCCTCGACCTAGCCCGCCGGCGGTCGCGCAAGGGCTGCGAGTGGTTGGTTGATGGTGTAAAGATGTGGACACAGGTTCACTGTAGGTTTAACGTAGCCCAGCTTGCTCTCTGGAAAGCCTTCTTACCAATCCATGGGAGGTCAGACGGTGCCGTGGAAAAGTAGCAGAAAACACGAGCAACAGAGCTGTGGAGGGGGAATCCGCTCGGGCGATGCCGGGCGTCCCGCGCGGGGCAGCTTGGCTGAGCACTTACGTGACTGCCGACATTTGAGGTTGATGGAAGTGGGGAAACGGTTGCTTTCAGCAGACAGGTGAGGACAGACTTCTTAGAGTAATCCAGGGCACAGGAGGGGTGCGCTGGGCTACAGGTGGCAGAAACGCAGCCTCAGAGCAGCTGCAGCTGGTAGTTCGGAGGTGGGCTGCTCCTGGCTGTGGCCGACGCCAGGCCCAGCAGCACTGCGTTCTCTGCATTCCCCGTGTGTCGTAACCGGCTGCCACCCTCCAAGCCCACAGCCGCCCTCCAGACAGGGAACACGGTGCTGCTGTAGCTGCCCCTTGACCTGGAAAGCAGAAACCTAGGGACCACCTACCAAACCTGGCTGTTTCTTGATCGACCAGAACTGGGTCACATGGCCGTCCCTAGCTGTGAGCGTCTGGGAGGAAAGCGGATTTCCAGCTGTTCCTGCCTTTTGGCGGGCGGCAGGAAGGGAGATTGGAAATGAGTGGGAGGGGTTTTGGTTCAGCCAGTCCACCGTGTTGGCCACGCTTTGAGAGCTCCAGTTCTACTTTAAGTTTGGTCCTAGAGAATCGTCTTTGTTTGTGCTGAAAGACGCACACTCAAGGATTTTCCCTGAAGGCTCATCACTTGCGGTAGCCAAACCAGAGCCGGCGTGGGGCAGGTGCTCAGCTGGTGGCTGGTCCTGCCCGTTGGAATGCCTGCACCAGCGTTGCCGTGTCTGGGTTCCAGCCCACTTCTGCTTCTGAGTGCGGCTCCCAGGGCACGCGGTGGCTCAGCTAGCTGGCTCCCTGCCACTCACGTGGGGACCAGGGCTGAGATCCTGGCTGCCAGCTTTGGCCTGGCCCCGACCAGCCTGTTTGGGACAATTGCACTGTGGCCCAATGGGTAGGATCCCCTCTCCCTCTCTGCCTCTTGAAGAAAGGAATTACATATTGCAGGTTTTAGAAAAGAATACTGCAGGCCGGCGCCGCGGCTCACTAGGCTAATCCTCCGCCTAGCGGCGCCGGCACACCGGGTTCTAGTCCCGGTCGGGGCGCCGGATTCTGTCCCGGTTGCCCCTCTTCCAGGCCAGCCCTCTGCTGTGGCCAGGGAGTGCAGTGGAGGATGGCCCAGGTGCTTGGGCCCTGCACCCACATGGGAGACCAGGAGAAGCACCTGGCTCCTGCCATCGGATCAGCGCGGTGCGCCGGCCGGAGTGGCCATTTGGGGAGTGAACCAACGGAAGGAAGACCTTTCTCTGTCTGTCTCTCTCACTGTCTAACTCTGCCTGTCAAAAAAAAAAAAAAAAAAAAAAAAAGAAAGAAAAGAATACTGCAGTACTCCTTTATACAAGTAAATGGAAGCCCGAGTCGTCCCAGTGTCAGCAGGCCAGCGGTCAGACCACGGTGCAGCAGCACCACAGAGTATTGGAAGCTGCTTAATGAGCTGCATTTGGACCAAACATGCTGACACGTGAGTTTCCAAGATGTTTGAAAGGGGGGAAAGAATTCAAAGAATGATATAAACAGTCTGATCCTATCTTTGTAAAAAAATCACACCCTCCTCGAGCTGTACATATGTCTAAAAATACACAAAATTAATGTGGAAGGAAGTAAACCAACAACAGTGATTATCTCTAGGGAGAGGACTGGGGAGGGAAGGGAGGGAGCGTAACCTTTTTGTTTAAATATTAATGAAAACAGACTTGTGTTTTTACCGATGAAAATCACTTTAAAGATTTTTATTTATTTATTTTGAAAGTCAAAGTTACAGAGAGGGAAGACACACACAGAGGTATCTTCCATCTGCTGGTTCACTCCCCAGATGGCCACAGTAGCCAGCACTGGGCCGGTCCGAAGCCGGGAGCCAGGAGCTTCTTCCAGGTTTCCCGTGTGGGTGCAGGGCCCAAGCTCTTGTACCATCTTCTACTGCTTTTCCCAAGCCGTGAGCTGGGAGCTGGATTGGAAGTGGAGCAACTACGCCACAGTGCTGGTCTCCAAATGAAATGTTTTAACTAAAAATTATTTCCCATAATTCTTTGGAAGGAAAGAAATAAGTTGAGGGTTTGAACAATAAGAAAGCAAAAGCAAGAGACCTCAGTTAGAATTCACTATTACCAGCAGCGCAGCAGTGCTGGTAAACACGTCGTTGTTTTGTAAGCTAACAGATGTCCCTGATGCCATCCCTGCAGGCAGCCTTTCGGGGGGAGGGGACGTTTTGACCCCCGTACTGGGTACGCCTCTAAATGTCTGGGACATTGAACCTCAGCAACTTTAACCTTCAGGTTGCTGGCAGAATCCTGACAAAGACGCTTGGAAGCAGTATGTATTCAGAGAACAGGTTTGAAGGCCGTTCAGCGCAGCATCTTAAGACTGCAAAGTAGAAATTGAAAAGTAACAGTGTCAAGTACAGTGAGAGAGCAGCGAGAGAGGCAAGCTCACATCCAGCTGCTGGTGGTGTAAACTTGTACCACCTT